AATCAGATGACTTCTATAAGTAGCTTGTCCCTGAGAGGTGAAGAGAGGTCTGTGGTGAAGAGAAAGTATCATGTGTTACATCATCCCTAAGTGTTGGTTGTTGCCTCAAGTCATGAATAAGGCACTGTGGCACACTGGCTAAAGCATACTAAGAAACTTGTGCGAATCTGTGTGGGTAGGGAACATGAGTCACTCTTGATAAATATAGAAAAATTAACCAAGCTACATTATCTGAAACACCAGATTCTGAGGTAGAAATCCCTACACAGTTTTTAGCATATGGAGGATATAGCTGAATACTTTATATGAACAAAAAGATAATGAAATTCAACAAGGCTTCAAAAAATTGTTTCCTCACATAATTTTGAGTGCTATGCAATAGGGATAGAGTAAAGATACATTTCAAAAACAAGTGGTCAAAACCTATCGTCTGTCTTGGTATGGGGCTTTCACATCCATGAAGATGGAGGAGTAATAAGCATGAAGTTGCAATCAGCAGCAGAATAGTTTACTCCATTCTTTACACTTTTTGAAATGGAAAATACAATATACTGCATTCTTGCATGCTTATAATATGACACATTAGTCTGCTAGTAGAGAGAAGCTATTGGGAAATGTGATGCAATTTCTTTCTTAAAATTCCAATACTATTGTTGGAAAAGTGGGGGGATAGATAAAAAAAATAAATGACAGACAAGGTCTGTTACACGTTTTGTTTTTTTAAAAGAAATTTACCCCACATAAATCATACACTCTTTACTGTTTGGCACACGTCTGGTTTTAGTCTTTAAAGCAGATCAACCGGAAAAAAAGTGTTGAATTTTTCTTTTTCCTGTTAGGTGAATATGCATAATCTATATTTTTTTCTGTCTATTATTAACATACTATTATGACTGCATCTTGTGGCATCCAACTGTAGCAGGTTACCAAAGCTCTAGTCAAACAAATCTACCCAAACAAATCTAGCCAAATCTCTTTACAAGATTTGGGAACAAATTAGCACTCTGATCCTTTCACTTTAGGAAAATTTTCCAATATGTTGTTTTGAAGCATATAATGACTACCCTGAGAGTCATGATCTGCTCTGGTAACTTCATCTGTCTCAGGACACTAGCTAACAGTGAAATGTTGGAAATGCAAAAAGCTCCCTCATTAATCAACCTAAAATCAATACAAGATATGCATACAACAGAGCACAGAAGAGGCAGAGTTGAAGAATGCTTGCCTTGTCTCAGTTATTTGCGCTTCAGTGCTGTTGCCTGTAACATTGTGTGACTGCTAGAGAAGCAAGCACGAACAACTTTAAAGGAGAACTACCTGTGCCAACAGAAATGTTACATACTAGCCAAATCTCTTCTTCCTATGGAAATTTACCTATGTTTTAACGTATTCCATTCACTGTAACATAGGGTTCTTTTAGAAATAGGTTCTTCTGCACTGTTAAAAGAGATAATATTATTCCTCCACAGGTCCTACCTTTCTGTGCTCTGCAACTGGCAGGTAGCAGTGTGTGCTCCCATCTCATTACTGGGTTTACATGTAGTTCAACATCTCTAGCAATGCAAATTGGTCTTATTTACACTCATAGTGTTTTCCTCTTGGTGGGGAAGAAGCTGGAACACTACATTTGTTTTTAACAACAATGTCATGGGCCAATGCCATGAGGCACCGCTTGCTTGGCTGTCCCTGTCCCTGGAAAAATAGAATGAGAAGTCAAGCTGCTCTTGCTGAATGGAGGGATATGGTATGTATTTTCTGAGGCTCTCGGTCCAGCTTAGACACAGAAAGAGAGTGAGTGTGAAACCCAGTGCATCTTATCTGAAATGTGTTCACAACAATTAGGACTTCTGTTCTATTTGTGTCCGTTTTCTACATCAAGGACCTTACTTGCTTGTGATACTCTGAAATGTCTAATGGGAGGGATGGAGAGAAAACACTCTGACTGTAATGGGCAGTAGGTAAAGAAAGGACCTTGTAAATAAATACACCAGAGCACAAAATATTCTGCCCTCCTGTCTTGAACAAGAAAAGCAAAATCCCTTCCAAGTGCAAGGAATTAAATGATGTTAAAGGGAACACCATCAAGGCGCATCAACTATCCTTTCCTTGGATACGAGAGTATTACTCACCAGAGGACATTTCATTCTTCCTCTAATGTTTATTCATTAACCAAACATACTCTTGGTTGTCATTAATTATATGTGTCCCAATATACTTGCTAGGATTTGCAGTCACTCAGAGATGAGCAATGAGAACAGAATACGAATAACTGTATCATAAGCAGCTCTTGCCAAAGTACATTTAAATTAATGGATCTAAGAAATTATTTCTTTTCTAATGAGAATCATTAAACATGAGATTAAATTTTAGCAACATCTGAAAGGCATAGCAGACTGTCAGTCATTTCAAAGACTAAGCAGCTGTTTGAGCAGTTATTCTCTAAGGTAAAAAAAAAAATATAAGGAAAAAGTCTTAAAAAATATTAAGCCAAGTATTGTACTTATAAGTTAAAACTACAGATATAAATTACAAAAAATTCTTGTCTTGTGATTTGCAATTAAAATATATTTAAATTTTTAAATGTTTAAATTGTGGAACTTTGCGATATGGAATGGTAGTATTCGGTTGAAGGTTGGACTTGATGATCTTGAAGGTCTTTTCCAACCTTAATGATTCTATGATTCTAAAGTGTACCTAGAGAAAATGAACCAAGTGAATGTATGGAAAAATATATTTCTTTTGTCTGGAAGAGCATATGATCTAATTAGATCATAGAAAGGCAAGACATGGATGATAAAAGCAAGCAAACAAAACCAAGTGAAAGGCAACTGTATTTACCATGTTCCATGGTCTCCAACTATTCATTATCAAGCCAAAAAAGTATATCCTATGCATTAAAATAATATTTAAGAATTATAGAAAAATGGAAACAGAAAGTTTGGGGAGAGGGAGTGAAGTTGAATGGAAGAATGTTTGAATACAACAAAGTCTCTAGCTAGCTTCTAATACTCTTTTTTGTTCCTTTAGCTGATGGCTTTAAATTGACACACACACACCCCCTCCAGTGACATAATGTACAATAAATACTAGGAAATAAACTTAGCATTTCAGAATATGATAAATCAACTACCATCACTTCTACTTTATTTTATTTTCTGTTACCCATTTTCAACTATTTCGGTGGGAGATGCAAATATTTTTGCAATATAACACAAATTTTACAAATAGTAGGATAGTTCATTTTGATGAAGATCTTGTTGCAACACTGATAATGACCTGACATAGTAGTTTAGATGCACCAGGCTATAAATGTAGTGGTTTTTAATAATCACATAACTTTTGTGTCCTTACTGCCTGTGTAAACAATCCTTTGCTAAATACAAAATCTAAATCCAGTCCTCAATGCACCCAATATTTATCATCTGTGAGGAAGTTTCACAGTTCATAAAACCAACATCTTTGTTCATGTAAGCTTTTAAAGTTTCAAAAATTAATAATGAAAAATGCAGCTTTTTTCTAGCTACAGAACTATAAAATTACCTTTCCTCTTTACTTACCAAGATAGAGAGAGACATAAAAGATAAAAGTGAGTCCTTCCTGAACAAAGACAGTCACTATAACTTGAATACTTCAATTTTTCACTATTTTCACTACAGTACTGCAAAAATATGGGGAATACTTCTGTCTGGGTTTCACCTTCAATTTTGCACTGAGTTAACTAAAGCCATGACAATACAGTGATGAAGTTGTGTTTCTTAGGAGAAATATAAGCTTTCATGTTAATACTTAACAATGGAAAATCCTGTTTAAATTTGTAAGTATGAACAGCCTTCTAATGGAAAAAATTCTGACTAAATCTAGAAGAAATGTCATGAGATATTGCAACTAGAACAGAACCTGAAATCAGATCCAGAGATCTTGGCTGTCATTTTCTAGTGCATTAATTAGTACATTGATCTTTCCTTATGGACTCTTAATGAGGCCCAGCTTCTCCTGCCCACACAGAGGGAGAATCTTTAATATGATTTAATTGTTAACAGAAGTGTGAGTCAGTACATTCATTATCCTTAATGTCAGTTCTTTCCCCAGAGCAGGAAACTAGGACAACCATAGCAAAAAGGAGGACCTTAAGGACAGAGGAGCCTGGAGACATGTTGGTCTTTCCCCCAACAGCTGATTTATGAATGAACTATGAGGACAAAACCATTTTGCTGCAATAGTCTTTAGCAACTGTTTTGTGCCAGAGTTACATCTTAGGAAGACTGTAGGTTCTCTCCTAGGCATCTGTGTTCCATCAGCAAAAAGTTCAGGTAATTCCTATGAAAGGTTGAGGAAGCACAGTTTGAGCAGAAAGGAAGAGAAATACAAGTGGAAATCTCACAAGTCCCTGTGATCTGTCAAGGAAGCAAATTCGTTTCACTGATCCTCCCTTTCAAGATTAAAAGTGATGGGTAATATTCTTCTGCTAAATCAGTACTGCAATTTTAAATGTCTACAATGGCAAATTGCATAAATAGGATTACTTTATATTTCTATTAAGCGCTGCTGTTGTATTAAGTCTCTGAGTTTTCCTACCGTTCTCTGCACTGCTCTAAATAACCATCTCTGTTCCACCTAGTGCCAGCATGCCTTTCCTGGATCTGCCATCTAACCTTTCTCCAAAGGTTAAAATACAGTTCTGTCATATTTGGTGGCACATGATTACAAACGAAACATCAGTTCTGCAAAACATGTAAGCGCTATTATGCTCTTACTCTCCTGAAACGTGCACCTAAACCTAATGCTGGTGTTGGTACTGTCCTTCCTGAGTAAAAGAAAGAAAACTAGCAGCCTATACAGATATTTTTAAACTCTCTTCCTCCTAAATTTTCCATCATGCCGTGACGCTCATGCACTATCCTTGGCATGCCATTGCGAGTCAGTAAACTGACATCGCTGTGGCAGTTTGCCAGTGTCATGAAGATGTTATGGATTCAAATATAAACTGGGTAAACCATGGGAACCTACCATGCATTGCTAATATATTAGACCTACAGGATAGTTTAAATACATGTTTGTATGTATGATGATCTTTTGCAGGTATGGCATACATTTGTCCAAAGGTAGGTAATTATTTATTAGCTTTAAACATTTTCAAGTAATTGAATATTTATGCAACTGTGCACCTTTTTCCTTTATCTTTGCATTGAATGAATCTACTTAATTTATAGCAACTAGGACAACATAGAAATAAGGGGAATTTTGCCTACAATCTGATGGCTAACATTCGTGATGTTGTCAGAATGGCTCTCACAAGCTTTTTAGTTTTGATCTATGAGAAGCTTAGAAAATTTTTTGCTGTCACATCTCAATGCTACAGTATTAGAATTTACAGTAGGGAATGGCTTGAAAACTTAACAAAAATGAATCAGGGAGAAATTACTGAATTTTTAGGATCTAAACAATTTTACAAAATTGTTTTACATACATTGGTTTCAGAATCCAGCTAACAAATCAATCCTCAGAGCAATACTCCCAGCCATTTCAGAATCTGAACAGAAAAAAAAGAGTTTTGTCACTACAGATAACAGTTTATTTTATATACCTTTTGCATGTCTGTTACTAGCTTTACTTTAGCACTTCATACTGCATTTGATTTATTGTGTCTTCCATTTTACTGCAGTTATGAAATTAACTGGCCAGGAATTAATGTATGATTTTAGAACAGAATTTGGGGAGGAAAAGAAAAAAAAGGCAATTTTAGAATGAAAAACATCCCACTAAATGTTAATACAGTATAAATTTTCCACACTTTTAATTTTCATTATTTTATTGTTGATCTTATTTGTGAAGTTTTGTCACTTTTGAGAACATTTTATATAATGAAAATCAGAGTTCTGATGTGGTAAATCACTCACTGCAGGCTCATTATATTTTTATTATAGTATCTAAATATAAAAGGGATTTGGAAATAGTTGTTCTCATCTATATTTTTTTAGCAATTCTTGTGTTGAAATGCAGGTGACATCACAAAATGCAGAAGCAGAAAAGACATAAGTTCAGAGAAATATTGGTAGGAAGAAGGAAAAGATTAAAAAAAGTGGAAAAAATTATATAAAACTGCAAAGTTATTGAACTTTCTTATAACATTTATTAACCTTTCTCTACCTTTTCTGCCTTCCTTTAGAAGTATTGTTAGATAACAGGAAATAAGTCATAATTTTATGACTGCTGAGTAAGGAAATATGAACTCTCTTGATTCTTGTTAACCACGTTACAAGAACTTCAATATTCTTTGAATACGTAATACTTACAAAACAAACCAACCAAAGATAGGAAGGGTATTGAGTCAAGGTTTCTAAAGTTAGGAAATGCCAGCAAATGGACCACCACTGTCTAACCACATAACTGAATGTTATTCTCCAGGGGGACCCCTGCCTCATTTAGCACACAGCTGGGTAGTGCTCTGCAGTTAGACAGCTATTCAGTATTTTGGCTATTTTTTTCCCCACAATGTGCAGGCAAGGCATTATTGTGCCTTATATATCATATTTACCCTAAACTGCAGAAATGCTATTCTAAAGACAGAATGGTTTATTTTCTCATGATCTTTTATGCTGCTTGTAAACACAGCACTAGGATGTTTTGTAACTCACTTGATACATGAAAAGAAGAATAAAGCCAGAAATTAAGGCAGCTGTTTCTATTCATTTATATATCTAGCCTGAAATGACTACAGCTTTGTTTCCAAGTATCTAATCAACACTAGAGTGTCACATTTTGAATGCAGAAAGCCAAGGTCTCCTTGGCCTAGCTTGTAGTTGTAGAACAGATGCATAACTGAATTCAACCTAGCCCATAGCATTTAATGGTCTCACTTAGTGAAACTATGCTTCAATGAACAAATACAGTGTGGTTATATAAACTATCACACTACGTAACTAGCAGATTGTGTGCCCACAAGAAAAGCAGTCAAGATTGGTACAATCTCCTACCAAAATTGCAAGAATGACAGTGACAGGTGCAAGAGCCTCTCATGGCCACAGGTATTAGCTTCCTGCAAAAACTCTGAGATCACTACTGCATTTTCTGTCACTCAACCTCATAGCATTAAGTACAGTGCCTGCATTGTGTTATACTTCAGGGCAGATGAGATTGGAGATTACACTCGTAGAGTTTTTTTTTTTTTTGTTTTTTTTTTTCCTTTTTTTTTTTCTTTTTTTTCCCCCTGGCTTTGTTTCTTAATATTAGTAAGAAACTTCCACATTTTCCTTATTTCAGCACAACTGGTCTTACTCAAGCCCTCTGGTTACAAAAACAAGGAATGGAAATTTGTAGCCTGAAATGACTTGCATTTCTAAAAGTCAGAAAGAACTATAGTAAAGCTTGTGGATAGGCCTAAAAGGAAAAGTTGCAGGCGTTTGCTATTTGCATTTTGGAAGTTTCCATGGCCATTTGATTATTAACTTGCATGCATGCTACCACAGTGCAGAAGAGGATGGACTTAAAATTGTCCTTTTCATTTTTATCACATAAACTTGCTAAGTTTCAAGATACAAAAATATGATTTGTTTTCATACTTGGTTTTACTGCATTAAGGTTTAAGCAGCTCTGCTGTATAGCTTTTACATTTAAGCAAACTGTTCTTCTGCAAGACAGTCCCTTAGATGTTTGATTCTGCCCTCTTGGTGGGAATTGGCATTTACATAGATCTGACGTTCTGTCAAAAGGAGCTGTCAACATGATAAGGAGTAAGGTAACCAGAGAGATTCCAGCATCAGCTGCATGAATGTGCTACACCCAGTGGTTTTGATAGTGAAGATGCAAAAATTCAGATTGGCTGTTAGTAGGGGTGGTGTGGCTATTGCTGTGCAGCCCAGGTTGGGCTATGGCTACCTCTTACCCTTGTAACCTGTTTTAAATTTAGGTTAAAACTTTTATCCTTGACGTGGGGTAAAACTGCAACCCCCAGTGTAATTACATCACCAGTATGTTGATATACTCTCAGGTTTTCTAAATCTGAAATGCAGTTCTCCTTAATGTTTGATTACAGAAAATAAAAATTTTTCTTATTCCACAGTACTGTTTACACTGCTGGAATAGGAGACAAGATTACTGTAACTGCAGTCATGCACATCACGGATGGCAGCTAAAAATCGGCTCTATGGCAGTTACAGTTTGAACTACATTAATGATGCAATCACTCTATAGCACAAAATTTGCAACATTTTTGGGACCTTAAATACTACACAATAAAAACCAAACAAATATAATTCACTTCATCAGAGAAGAGGAGTAGCAGAGACCTTTTTGTTCACCGGCTGAATTTTTATTTGTGTCACATGCTAGAGAAGGCTAACACATGCTGTTCAAATGATGTTGCCTCAAAGTAATATATTCACATTTTGTAACAAGTACTGGACTATTTCACATTTATCATCTGCAGCTGGAAATTCTAAGTTTAGAAGAAAGACCTGTCTACACTTGAAGTATGGGTGTGAATATACAAAATAGGATTTGTAGATTGAATCTAATCAAACATCCAGGCCTGGTATAACCTATAATTACATCTCAAATAAGCAAACATCTTCCACCAGCCTTTTTATGCTACTAGCATAGCATATAAATGTCATTTAAGTCAGCAGAACTGAAGCACGTTGAGACTTCTTCATTGCTGTATTGTATCTTTTTCTTGTGTTTTCAAGTTTTAGCTATTATATCTGATTAGAAAAGCATACCCTCTCCAATAAATAGGTTAAAAAAGCTAAACAAAGAAATGAAGAAAGAGTTTGGCTTTATTGCTCAACTTCCCATTAAGTGTAGGAAGAATTCTTTCATTTCTAATGTGTAAAACACAAACTTCTAAAATTCTCTTTGCTATCCCTATAATTTGGCAAATCCATGGCATGGTCAGCATCTATTTTGCTCCTAAAGGAATGTTTAGAGAATTTAATGATAACCCTTTTAGGGGGACTGAAAGTATCAGAAAGCGCATTTCTTTATACTACAAAGGATGAATGCAGCTGAGCTACCGAACTTCAGAGCATTTGAACTAGTTACAAGGAACTTGAACTACTTACTGTGAAACTGGCTTTTAATATGCACCTATACTCAGCAATTTTATCCAACTTCAGTTTCCTTTGATCTGCTGAATGCCCAACTGGCATTATTTTTAGAGGTTGGTTCATGAATTTTCAAATTCCAGTCCAAATAATTTCTTACCTTACCTTGATAGAATTTCACATATAACTGTACACCTGTCTCACTATGCATGAAAGACTAATTTTCAAGACTAAGACTGAAAAGCACTATTATAATAATCTGTTTTTACCTACTGCATAAGATTCAGCCCCAAGTGATAGTTCCAGCACTTAAAACAAGTTAAAACCCCTCTATACATCTTTCTAGAAGCTTGGCTTCAATTAAAAAAGTTTTAATACAATGATAATATTTCTTCTTAGTTTCAATTAAACCAATCTTTAGTTAGCAAATATTTTAATGGTTAACCCAACTGAATTCATCAAGCTAGAAATGAAGTCTATTCTAATTCAAATTTCTGGAAGTGTTGTAGGTTGCAAAAAGTCTGCCTTGACAGCCATTATTAAACCACTCAGATGATGATGTACTGAGAGATGAGACTCTGAACTAGCACTGTAACACTGAAACAGTAACCAGAGATGTTGGCAAAACAGGGAGACTTGGTAACATTGCATGTAACACCTTTTATTTAAAAGCAGTGAATGAATGTATTCTGGAAAGTAAAAGACTCATATACAAATTTCTCTTCATTCTTCCACCTGTATCACAAACCTGATGTATATAGTTTCACCAGACTGAAACACCCTGGACATTCATCAGCCCAGTGCATGATATGCAATGCTTTAAAACTTCTTGTTCTGTGACTAGATAGGAACATTTCCAAGTGAAGACTAACCATGAAGCTGTGCAATCTCCTTCAACCTTTCTGTTTGCCAAATGACACAACAGCTTTATGAAGCAGAAGCTGCTCACCCCACTGCATCATGTCTGAAATTAAATGTCACTTCTGATTAAAGCAGGCAAGAAAGAGGGATTGTCAGAAAACACAAACATAACACAAAGGATAAGAATTTTGTATTATCTA